TTTTAAAATCAAATCTGTAGGGCGCCTGGGTGGCTCAGTTGGTTAAGCGACTGCCTTCGGCTCAGGTCATGATCCCAGCCTGCTTCTCCCTCTGATCCTCCCCCCTCTCATGTGCTCTCTCTCTCTCATTCTCTCTCTCAAATAAAATAAATAAAATCTTTAAAAAAATCAAATCTGTATCATTACTTTTTTTCAGAATGTTCTAGTGCAAGTGAGCAGTGAGTTTGTGTGTACTCCTCCCTCTAGAGGTGAGCGAAGGGTTGGTATTGGTGGCGGGGTGCGTGTCCAGGGTTGGGGACTCCACATTAGGGATATCAGGGAGACACGGAATAGCTCAGTGTCCTGACTCCCTTGTCCTCTCTGGTCCACTCCCCAGAAACAGTGGCTTTATCCTGGTTCCCAGAGCACCTCTCACTTTGTCACCTGACACTAACCCCCCCACCCCCATTCTGCAATACTCCTCCTGGCAATGGAGCCATCAGATTGCCTCTGAGGTGTGATTTTATTTTTATTTTTATTTTTAAAGATTTTATTTATTTGAGAGAGAGAGAATGAGAGACAGAGAGCACGAGAGGGAAGACGGTCAGAGGGAGAAGCAGACTCCCCGCTGAGCAGGGAACCCGATGGGGGACTCGATCCCGGGACTCCAGGATCATGACCTGAGCCGAAGGCAGTTGCTTAACCAACTGAGCCACCCAGGCGCCCCTGAGGTGTGATTTTAGAAGAGGCTTGCAAGTGTTTCTTGGCCTCTTCTTTCCTTCCATCTGCTCTTTTGGGAAGCCTGAGCTGGGATCCATTCCATTCCCTGTGGTTGCCCCAAGGCGGGGAGCTGACCCCAACCCCGTACCCCCACGCTCTGGGCCCTACAGCCCATCTGGCAGACAGAAGGAGCTAGAAGGGACTTGTTGTTTGGTGGCCTTCCAGGATGCCTCCCTCCCCACCCTTCTCCCAACCCTGACAACTCAATCCAGCTGACATGACAGGAAATGAGAGTGAGCAACAGGGCCCACAGCCAAAAAGGCCACTTCTCTTTGCCGAGGCACAGAACAGGGCCAGGGGCCCACCTCCCTCCCCTAAGCACCTTCTCTCAACGGGAGATAGTGCAACCAGCATTGTGTCTGAAAGGGGAGGCTGGTTCCTGGAGGCTTCTGTCCTTGAAGCAAAAGAAGCCGAGGGCCTGCTCAAGTAGAAATGGGGCCTCGGGAGCTAGTGACTTCCAAGGGGATCGGATGTCACCCCAGGAAGACCAGGAGGACCTGGAGCAGAGTCAGAGTTGATCACAGTTTGGGGACCACAGTATCCTGGAGTAAGGTTTTGGCTACTCTCTGAAAAAGTCCTCCAGCTGTTGAGAAAGGGTGGGGGTAAGAGAAGCAGGGAGTGCTCATTTGCATTTCATTTGCATAGGCCTCTTTTGATGTCCAAAGGCAATGAAATTTCCCGTCCTTGTTTCTTTTTCCCTTTCTTTCCTCTGTTCCTTTTCTAACCTCCAGGCAACCTCCTATCTCTTCTCTTTCCCACAGCTTTTCTTCTCCCAGGCCAAACAGAGAACAGGGATTATTAGGCCCAGGGTTTGGCACCTTCCCCGGGATCTCCCATCTGCCCAGAACTCAAAAAGCTGGTTTCATGGAGATTCTGAGTTCTGGGAAAGAGGGAGGGATAAAGAGGTCTTTTGCACTCCCATTCAGTTCATCTAATTGAAATGATCATCAAGCAAGTCAGAGAGGGAAGGAATAGAGATTGTCCAGCTTTGCCCATTGCCCCATATTTGCATGCCACTAACACACCCGACCTGCTAAGACTCTGGAAGAGCATATGAAGGAGGAGCAGAGAGAACAGAAAGGTCTCTGCTCTGATGTGACTTATATCCACTTGCCCCATGACCCTGGGCAAGTTCCTCCCCCTGTGGACCTGGGTTCCTCATATGAATGATAGTCTAGATTCCTTCCACCTCGAGTGACATGATCACAGAAGAGAAGGAGAGACTCCAGCACAGACACTGGAGGGTAGGATTAAAAGCACCAGCTTTAGGGACGCCTGGGTGGCTCAGTGGGTTAAGCGTCTGCCTTCTCCTCAGGTCATGATCCCAGGGCCTGGGATGGAGCCCCACGTTGAGCTCCCTGCTCCACGGGGAGCCTACTTGTCTCTCTCCCACTCCCCGCTTGTGCTCTGCCTTGCTATAACTCTGTCGCTGTCTCTGGCTCTCTCTTTCAAATAAATAAAATCTTTAAAAGTAAGAAATAAATAAATAAAAACTCCAGCTTTGGAGTCTGGCAGACCTGTTCTAACTCCTAACTCTGCCATCTACTAGTTGCATTAACCTCCCTGAACCTCGTCTATAAAAGGAGTCTCAAAACTGTATCTTCCTTCTAAGGGTGTGCTGAGTAAATAAGAAGGTACATGCCCAGCATGTAGCACCTCTCTTGGCAGATAGGAAGCACTCAATATTTATTGAATGAATGAGTCCAGGGATGAAGGTGAGGTAATGTCTGTCACCCTCTCCCCACCCCCACCCCCTCACCCTCCCATCCTCCCACCCCCTGTCTGGAATCCAAAGCTGTGCTTCCAACTGTGAACCTTCAAGGTCCCACCTCTGCTCAGTGGTTTGCCATCCCCAAGAGCTCTGCCCCCACCTCATCCCCAGGGCCCCAGAATCCTAGCCTGCTGGAACTAGAAGGCCCTTGGAAACCATTAGTCACATGCCACCACCCCCTCCCCAACCCCGGGCTTCTGGAAAACCAAAGCCCAGAGAAGAAAGGTACCTGCACATGAAACGAGAAACAGCAGGTCCCAGATATGGTGGTCAGAGAATCAGACCCTCGGTGTACACAGCCACACGGATGCTATGCAAATTGACATATGGAAATCACGAGCACACGGGGGTATATAAGCTGTGTGCAGGCATTTTTCTAGCATGATGGTAGGCGAAATACAGTTGTAGATAAGAAAGTTACCTCAGGGAAGGAGCCAGACCTGGAGTGGAGGAAGGAAGGGAAAGGAAGGAGAAGGGGGTGGGAGAAAGGGACAGGGTAGAGGTGTCCTGAGAGGTATCCCTGGGTTCCAGGGGCCTCCAAGAAGCCTTTACTGATCACTTCCCCCAGCCAAAGAATCAGGAAGAAAGTCCTCTTCCCTCTTGCCAAGAGTGGGAAGAAGAGTTGATGTGACTGGCGGAGGGTGGTTCGTATGAACCCGAACAGGGACTTACTGGGCACTTCCTACTCCTCCACGGCCTCTGTGGCACCCACTGAGCCCTCCCCCAGAGCCTGGGTGTCCCGGCACTGAGGACAGGCAGCCAATTAGTTAACGACCGGGAGGCAGGGTAAGAAAAGTCCCATGGAAGCCACCACAAGGGCTACGAAGCACACTGAAGCGTTATGCTAATCTAGTAAAAGATCAGATCATTTCCAACTCCAGAAAGGAGGTGGCGTTTGAACTGTGCAGAGGGAGTAACGTGCAGTGTTTCAGAACAGGAGCCTTGGTACTTCCTGGCTGTGCGACACCGGGCAAGTTCCACTCTCTAAGCCTCATTTTACCCACCTGTTAAATGGGAATAATAAGAGTCCCATTTATGAGTTGTTATGAGGACTAGACAAGATTGGAAGCCTTTAAAGTGTTGGTTAGCACAGTGCCCGGCACAGAGCGAGAGCTCAATAAATGCTGGATATTATAATAGGGATCATTGGGGGTGGGGGGTGGGTAATGTGTCAGATGGAAAGAACACCCGTAAACACAGCAGAGAGGCAGAAAAGCTCAGGACCTGTTCTGTGAGCAGGAAAGAGTCCTTGAGACTAAGATGAAGGTAGGTTAGTAGGAACACCTGTCTGGAAGGAGGGCAAGGTTCTGTGCTCGTGTCAGCCCATGGCTCTCTGGGCTTACAGACGGGTAAGCCCTTGGCCTTGGCACCACTTCCTGGGACCTAAAGAATGGAGGAGAAGAGTGGGGGGAGCTTAGATGATGAGTCTATGATGGATGCTACAAAGAGCACTGGAGTGGGAGTCCAGAGACCTGATTGAGTCAGGCGCCATCGCTAGGAAATGGTATCCCTTTGGCGAGTCCCTTCCCACCTCTGTAGATGAGGCAGGTGGCTGTCCCCACAATCCCTGACCTTGGTAAATAATTTTCACGTCATCTTCTCATAGAAACTCAGAGCTACCTGGGGCCTGGAAGACAGGCAGGGGACAATGTCATCACCCGGAAAACGGGATAATAAGCTGGGCCCCATCTAGCTCCCAGGATGTTGTGGGGGGGGGCGGGGGGCTAGGTGAGTTTGGCCACCTGCTAAACTGCATATAGATAGATGCCAGTCGTGATGAGCACCCGCCCGTTTTACAGATGAGTAAACTGAGTGCAGGAAGGTGAAAAGCCTTGGCTCTTGTCACCCAGCTGGTAAGTGGTGGAGAGAGAGGACTCCAAAGCCAGATTTTTTTCCAGAACACCCCCACGGCTTTTCTAAACGCTCTAGACTCCTTGCAGCGCTTACCCTTTGAGAGTCTGTCCAGGCAGCAGCTCAGGCCCTGGCTGGAGAATCCATCAGGGGCTCCTAAAAAGGGCGAGCTGGACCAGGAGTCTGGGTGGCTGTGGGCGCCCTAGGGAGAGGCTGCCCGGCCAGGTTAGAGGGGACAGGTGTTCCGCAGGGTGGTGACCCGCCCCGGCAGCAGCCCCTGTCCCCCTCCCCAGGTCCCCAGCTCCCCGTATGCAAATCGCTGGTTTGCATGGGCCCGGGGCCAGGCGCGGGGGCCCTGCCAGGGGGGCGTGGCCGGCGGCCCCCGCCCCGCGCCGCGCCGCGTGCTCACCTGGGGAGTGTGGCAATCCTGGCCGTGCCGAGCGCTGCCCGGGCGGGAGCAGCGGAGCGCGCGACAGCGGCGGCGACGGCCCCGGCAGCGGCGTCCACGGCGGCGGCGGCCGGGGGCGGGAGGAAGGAGACCCTGGCTTCCCAGGGGGCCCGGCTGGGGCAGTCGCGAGGGGCCTGGGGGGGCGCTGGCTTTGGCCCCACCTGGGGCAGGATGGTGAATCTGGAGCCCATGCACACAGGTGAGGGGCGGAGGGAGTGAGCGCTGACAGGTGTCAGAGAAGGGGCGAAGGGGCGAAGGAGAGGGGCACCGTTCTTGGGGGGGGTGTCCGCTTCCCCAGCGACCAGGAGAGGGCAGTGTGGGTAGCGGGTCACCCAGGGGCGGGCGGCGTGGGTAGGTGGATGTTGGGGGATCCTGGAAAAGAATGGAGGTGGGGACTACGGCGGTAAGGGGTGGGAGGGCTTCTGAAGCCTCCAATCTGGAGAGTGGCAGATGTGTGGGACTTGGGCATGCTGAGCTGTTGTAGTCTGGCTGAAGTTGTTCTGTTCACTGATCGCAGAAGGGTGGCTCACTCACTCAGCCAGGGGTGTGGACCTGGGAGTGCACAAGTGAGGAAAATACTTGTATCCACATGTTCCGTGTTTTGTGTCTCGGTCCTTTATGTGAAGTGGAGGCAGAGTGGGCATTTGTAAGGTCTGGTGGGGGGGGCGCTAGGAGAAGCGAGTGGGGCCTGGCAATTACAGAGACACACCTGGGGCAGGTGTGATGTATTGATTAGGGCTTGTGGAAACATGTGTCCCTGTGTATCAGAGGTGAGTCTACTGTCCTCGTTGGGGGGGGGGAGGTGGAGCAGACCCCACGTGTGAAGTGGTGCCTACCCACAGGCTCTGTGGGTACTGGTGGTACTATAGATGCCTCCATTTCTGTGTCTCAGAGGGGCTGGTGAGAGGTCCACCCTCTGCTCCATGGATTCAGATACCAAGCCCCCCTTTCTTCAGGGGAAGGAAGCTAGGGGATGCAAATGCTTTTCCAGGAGTCACTTTCCCCTATGTGAATGGTGTGTGGGCATGGCGTGAACCGAGGCCCCTCCACTCACCCTGCTGATCCATCCTTCCACAAATGGGCTGGGGCAGGTGCTGCTGATCCTGAATGGTCACGTTTGATGTTAGGGTGGGCCTTCTAGAGGTCTGAGGGTTTGAGTGGAGAACAGACTGAAGGTGTAGAAGGCTAAAACTGATTTGGCCATTTCAAACCAGCAGTTTGCCTCTCATAGAGGGAGGGCGGCACCACATAACTCTTATTTAGGATTTCAGGGCTGTCGATGGGAATTTTGTACCTGCTCTCCTTTCTGGAGGAGTAGGGAGGAAGAGTGAGGAGAGGCAATTTTCCTGACCCACCCCAAGGAGCAGAGCAGTCTGGAGGCTTTGGCCCTTCCTGGGTCCCACCAATCCTGAAAACAGGCAGCAGCAGGTGCATGAGGAGACCCAGGGTCCACAGTTCCCCAAACACGGTCCTGGCAGGGCTGAATGAAAGTCAGGCTCACAGAGAGATCTTGACTCTGCGTGGATCCCCAGGTGCCAGGACATGCCAGAAAGGGCCAGGTGAGGCCAAAGAAAGCATCCAGCTGTGTGTCATCCAATATCCGGAGAAAGTCTGTTTCCAGACCCTGTGGCACCAACATGGAGCTGGGCATTCCTGGGGGCTGTTCCCCTGCTCTCTCCACTTCACTTCCCATCAAGAAGGCCTAGGCTGGAATGGGAGCAAGACCTCAGAAAGGTGGGCCCTCAGCAGGAAGTTCTTTAGGGACAAGATCAGAGACTTCCTAGGGGTTTTCCACTTCATTGTCTCCTGGAGGCTCCTGGCTCTAGGGGAAGTGGGAGGAGGTGGGACAGCTGGGACCCAGCAGGGAAATGCCTAGGGGCTAAGAAGATCTGGCAGAGAGGAGAGCTTTGAGAGGGCCAAGCCCCCCCCCCCCAAGCCTTGGAGGAAGCTCCAGGCTGACGCCTCCCTCACCATCTCCTGGTTCCAAATGCAAAAGGGGAGACTGAGCTAAACCCAAAATACGGTTCCCATCTACCTTGGGTGTATTGGCTGACTCAGTGGTTTACATTTACTTGCTGCCCCGCCCCAGCCCACTTCTTGAGTCTGCCTGTACCACCCTGAGAGCTCTCTCAAGTCTCAGCCCCTCAGTGGTGTCTGGTTCCCCTTTAGTGGCACCTCAGAGGGATCTCTCAGCTTGGGACTTTCTGTGGATCTCTCTGACTGGGTCTCCATATGAGGGTTCTCCTTGCTGGGTCTTCTCGGGCTTTTCAGTCTGAAGTCATCCTGTGGGGTCTTTCAGTGTGGGCCCTGCAGTGGAGGGTCCCTCTGTGGAGTGTCTCATTACAGGTCCCTCTCTAGGGTCTCTCAGTCCAGGATCCTCTTGGTGGAAATTTGGTCTCTTCTGAGTCTTACCTCCCCGCCCCCCCCCCCACAGTAATTCTGTGTCTTGCTGTTTCTTCACAAACAGCACTTTCTCTGTGAATTTCCAGTCCTGGGCCCTTGGGGACTCCTCCTCAACTGATTTTACTGGAACAGTTTGGGTGAGGAAAAGAGCACACAAAATAGGGCACAGGCTCGCACCAGGTCCCACACTCAGGTCCATTAGCTCTGTGGCCCCCGAGCCAGCCCATCCTTCCACTTCGATGACCTGGGTGCAAGCCATGATTCAGGTCAGCCTGGGGTCTGGGCACTTTGTACTTTATAGAGCATTTCTCTCCAGGAGCATGAACACCTGAGCAGGCATGAGGTCACCAGACACGGGGGCACCCCAGCCAAGGTGTGGGGGGGCCTCCCTACTTCCCGGGTCAGAAACAGGCAAAGGGGTAGACAAGAGTCAGACAGACAGCTGGGGAGGGAAAGAAACAGAGGAAAACAGTGGGAAACTGGCCGTTGGGGAACACCTGGTTGGCCCCAGGGCAGCTCTTTTTCTGTCTTTCTCCTCACAGTTGCCTATCAAGGTTGGGATCAAGTCTCACAGACTGATACCAGTTACAGCTCAGGAACACCATTTGGGTTGGAAGGTCTTATTGTGAGAGGAAGTGGCTTCATCTTAAAGAAGTGACAGAAGTCTATTCCAGGAGACAGTTGGACTCATGACTAGCTCAGAAGTAGGACTGGTGGGCCCCTTGGTTTCCTACTGGTAGAGGTGCCCCCATTGGTGAGCATATGAGGAAGAAGTCAGGAGGGAGCTCCAGTCCCTTCAGAGAGATAGAGATGGACAGTAGGAGAGAGAAGGGTTCTTCTCTCTGCTTCCCCCCACCCCCCGGCCCCGGCATAGCCTGGACCTGGGGGTTCAGCACACTGTGGACACTCAGCCTGCAGCCTGGGGGAGACGCTTCATCTCGGACTTTTCTCCTTCAGGCTCACACACACATCCTGTACACAGATGTATGAAGAGGGGCTGCTCATGGGTCATGCCAAGGCACAGGGAGGGCAAGGTCAGCAGGTCTTGCCCCAGCTTCAGAGTGTGATGGTGCCAGTGAGGCAGATGAGGGTCTGTGTCTGGTATCTGGGATCTTACACAGAGCAGCTAGGCCTCCCCAGGGAAGGGAGTGATGGCAAGGAGCCTACTCAATCGCCTGCCTGCCGAGATAAGAGCCGAGAAGACTAGCCCCACCCCACACCTCCCTCACTCATCCCTGGCAAGTGCTGTCGGACAGGCAAAAGGCTATGGCATCTTGGGGAGTTTCAGTGTTGGCCCATTTTTAGGCTGAGACCCAAGAGTTCGTCCCACCCATCAGCCTCAGCCTCCTACCCACAAGAACTGGTTCTCAGTGTCTTAGCATCCTGTGGGACTCATGAAGAGCTTCTATAGAGCATCCCAGCCTGCCCCGCCATTCAGGCTCCAATCCCTGTCCAATCCCAAGGTGTCACCATGTCGATCCCATAATGGGTACATCAAAGGAGAAGCTGTCCTGGCAGAGTATGGGCCTTTGCCTCCTTCAAAAGTCATTTTTAGACATGATTAGGAGTACCTTTTAAGCTAATTCAAAGGCTGAGTGAGAGATGGCTTTTGGCTATATTTAAAGGCAATGCAGGGAAAGGGTGTCAGAAGGGAGTCTGGGTTACAGGCATGAAATTGTGGTTTAGGTAAACAGTTACCCTTCTTAAATGTCAGGAATTTGAAATAACTTGATTTGAGAATCTGGTCATCATCCCAGCCTTACTGCTCTTAAACCCATACTGTCCCCATGAGCTCTTCCCTCATGAAGTCAGAATTTGGAGAATGCCTATGGCTTCCCAGGTAAAAGACAAATTACGATAGCGCTGAGACAGAAAACCAAAGCTATTTCTTGTTATGGGAGAAGGGAACTAACGGAGAAGCCTAAGTATCTGTTTAGTTCATTCTTCTATTGAGAGCTTACTTTGCACCAGGAAATGAGCCAGGTGGTTTTCATTCAGTATTCTGTTTGCTCCTTAAAAGAACTCAGGAAGTATCGTTATTCCCAATTTTTAATTTTTTAATTTATTTTTTAAAAATATTGTATTTATTTATTTGACAGAAAAAGCGAGCACAAGCAGGGGAAGCAGCAGACAGAGGGAGAGGGAGAAACAGGCTCCCCGCTGAGCAGGGAGCGACCCCGGGATCATGACCTGAGCCAAAGGCAGATGCTTAACCAACTGAGCCACCCAGGAGCCCCTCATTATTCCCAATTTTTAGATGAGAAAACTGAGGTTCAAATATGTGGCCAGGGTCCCCTGATAGTTAGCCATGGTGCTGGGATTAAATCGAGGTCTGTTGGCCACCAAAACCAATGCTCTGAGGCCACTCTAGATGCTACTGAGGCCGTTTAGAAAACTGAGGGGCCAGTCTCTGCCTTTTTCCTCAGCACCGTTGAAGAATCCCTATGGGGGAAGCGGGAGCTGAGCAAATCTGTGTTAGGCTGTGCCCAGCTCCAGGGGTCGTACGAAGCAAAGCCCATTTCTCCACAGGAGCAAAAGGTAAGCACCAGCTGAAGCCCTTTGCAGATGTGTCCAGGTGACCCACACTAGTTCTGCATATTCACACATGACTGACTATACAGAAAGTTTCAAACTACAGCAGGAAGGACTTAGGTTAGGCTCAAGAAATGTCTTCCTAAATGTAGCACAGTGGGACAGGTGGTGAGGTGTGGTTGCAAGGTCTCCCCTAGTGGTCTGGGACTGTGCGGGACATGGAGCTCCAAGTATTTACCTGGGAGTCATCACTTGGGTGGGTCTCAGAAATATTCCTCAAACCACAGTGGCTCCCATAGTCGCTTATTCCATCCTCTGCTTCTGGGGTGTTCTAAGAGCTGGAGAGCCTCTGAACCTCCGTCTCTGTCTTGCTTGGCATGGCAGTCACCCCTCCCGCACTGCAGTCACTACACCGCCAGGGGCCATAGTTTAAATCTCTGCCAGAGCCACACACATCATTGCCCTAAAAAAAAAAAAAAAAAAAAAAAAGTACGTTTCTCCCCGCTTTTCCCGCTTTTCCTGGGGCGGAGGTCCACCCTTTTCCCTCATCCTGATCATCTCCAGACCTCGGGCGTCCTGACTGCCAACTGCCTGATTACCTGATGCAAATTAAGACTGCATGCTTAACTGGGATTGGCTGGGGAGCCGGGTATGCAAATTGCCTCACCAAGACTTTATCTGGTTTGAAAGAGTTAAAGTGCTGCCCCAGAGAAGAGGATGGGGGTGGTGGTTGGGGGGGTCAAGACGATTTGAATAAAATATTCTTCTGTCTTTAACGGCTTCAGTATTTGGGTGGTTTAATAAGGAGAGGAGCTGAGAGAGTGAGTTAGTTCAAAGTTGCCTCTTTGCTTCTCTCTGAGGATCCTGGAGGAGACTTAGGGACCTCTTAGGTTGTGGCAGCTGTCTGTTAGGGGTAAATGTTTAATTTATTGAAATGAAGCAGGGCAGCGAGGCCGGACCAGCAGCACTAGGGGGCTGAGACCGGGCCTGGTGTAGGTGTTCTCTCTCTGCAGGGCACTGATCCGCCCACCATCCCTTTCTCCCTGAGCACGTTGAAGGAGTAGGAAAGAAGGTAAGGATCCCCAGAGGAGAAAGATCTCCGGAGGGCCACACAGGAGCTAGGATTTGATCCCCAGACAGTGGACTGACCACTGAGAACCAGACAGAGAATAAGGGCAGGAATTGGGCAAGAAAGGTGAGAAGGGCAAGCCTGGGTTCAAGGGTACTCTTACCTCCCAGGGTAGGGTTATTACGGGGGCGGGGGGAGGGGAGAAGGATATTTCTTATGCTAACTTAAAAAATAATAATAAATCCTCCAAATCCCAAAGGCAATGAGGATTGAAAATGGGAAGCATTCTCCCCCACCTCGCCGTACCCCTCCCCTTGTTAAATTTTTACCAACTGAGCCTGGTGATTGAAGGAAGTGACAATGAATGATGCAAAAGGTGAGAGATCCCACAGTAGCGGCAGAGAAGGGGAAAAGAAAGGCTAGGGGAAGGAGGCAAGCCTGGGAGGAGGAGATTTGTGCCCTGAGCTTATGAATATTCTAATGGTTGTATGTTCGGGAATCAGGAATTTGAAAGTCTGACGGTTGTTGTAATTACACATTCATCTTTGCTGTTTAGTTAAAGCCACATATGTCATAGCAAGAAAAATTGTGACCTGTTATTAAAATCAGTTGTGTTTTCCCTGCAGATATCAAGATGAGTGGGGATGTGGCAGATTCCACGGATGCTCGCAGTGCCCTCAGCCAGGTGGAGACAGGTAAGGGTCTTCTCTTCTGGGGAATGAAACAAGAAAGCACGGGTGGGAGCGAGTTGTTGCAAATCAGCATGGAACAATGCAGTATCTTTTCTTGCTCAGTCTTTCAGCCAATCAAACCCCAAAGCTGGGTTTTAGGCAATGAAGGAATTCCCTTAGAGACATAGGATGTGACCTTGGAGGCTTTGAACAGTAGATCTTGGTCTAGAGGGGGACAAAAATCCCTGGAACTAGGCTAGGAAAGGGCCAGATCCTGAAAAACAAAATGGAAACAGGAAAGTTAGGGAGATCAACTTCTTGATGTGCCATTCCAACACCCGTGGAAGCAGCAGGCTGTGGTCCTAGCCGCTCTGACTGATGGAAAGCACTGTGTGTCTTCAGTAGATGGGGACCAAGGCCTTTTAACCCCAGATTTCTCAACAGGCCTACTCAAGGAACCAGCCAAAGAGGCCCGTGCGCAAGTCTTCCTCTTCCAAATTACATGCATGTGGGTGGTAAATAGACCCAGAAAGAAAGGCTCGGTGCCTGGAAGATGACTTTGCTTTGTAAAGAAGAGAAAGAGGGCAGGGAAGAATTGAGAAGAAAGTTTCATAGCTCTCTGCTTTTAACTCCGTAGTCCAAGCTTTGCTTTGAAAGCTCCATATAATTAAAAAGAACTTAAAGAAACATAAGTATAAATTGTAACACCACCAAATAACTTTAATAGCCTTCCAACAAGACCTCAATTAGTCTTTCATCTGGATCATTAGAGATGTAGAAATTAGAAGTGGAAGAGAATCAATGTCCCCCAGAGCTAAACTCTTTTCCCAAGTCTTCAGGTGCAGTCTAATCCCATTCTTGAAGCTTGGGTCAGGGGCAAGATAATTGGGGGTCCTGTGGAGGGCATCTTCAGGATACACTTACCACAAACTTTTCTGCCCCCCAATTTAATATTAAAACAATCCTATTGCACAGGTAGCAATACATGTTAGAGCTGTAGGTTCTATGTTTTTCTTTGTGAGTAGGGATAAGCTGGGCTGGGAGACTCTGGGCCAGTTGCACTCATTTTTCAATTGACTTAATTGCTGAGTGTGTTTTCCTGAGGGTCTGTGGAGGGGGGGGCACTTGTTCTCCCCAGTTGAGAAGAAAATTTCCTCCAACCGGAAGAACCGGAGCAAGGTTTTAAAATCAGTTCAGCTGGGGGTGCCTGGGGGGCTCAGTCGGTGAGGCATCCGACCCTTGATTTCGGCTCAGGTCTTGATCTCAGGGTTGTGGGATCGAGCCCTGCGTTGGGCCCAGCACTCAATGTGGAGTCTGCTTGGGATACTCTCTCTCCCTCTGCCTCTGCCCCTCCCCCTGCTCACTCGCTCTCTGTCTCTCCATCTCAAAATAAATAGATAAAATTGTTAAAAAAAAAGAAAATAAAATCAGCTCAGCTGGAGAGGGATAGGCAGTCTCGGCTCTGACACTCTTCCCTGGAGAAGACTCAGACTCCAGAATCCACTATCAGGAGAAGCTGGATTGCCCTTTCCTGGTAGCAGGCTGGCTGGAGCCAGTTCTGTCCACCTGGGCCAGGTCCATTACCTCAGGTGTGTGGGGACACAGCTAGGAGAGTGCCTATGTGGGAAGAAGACCACACTTAGCAGGCTGGCTGGCACGGGCGTTCTGTGACTAGTTAAGCGACCGAGTCAGGGTAACCGTGTTGGGAGTGGGAAGGAGCTACATGGAACCCTAAAAGGTGAGCCAGGAGAGAGAGCGAGTTCAGATCCTGGGTGGGGGCTAGGAAGATGAAGGTGTTAAGAGATGATCTGCTCACGTTCTGGCCTCCTATCTGGAACTCTGGGAGCTATGTACAGACTAAGTTGAAGGAGAAAGAATCCAGACATAAACTAGCACTTTGGGAATCTGAGTGCCATCCCAGGGCTACTCCCAGTTCCGTATGTGACCTTATATCAGCCACTTTGCCTCCTTAGGAGGCAGGAACAGATGATCTTCGAAGGGTATGGATTTAAAATCGCAGCTTAGCTGCTCACCAGTTGTACAATCTGCTAAGTTAGTTTAGCCTTGTCTCTTCTGTAGAGGGGGGTTAATTAATGTAGCTGAGATGACGTTTAGAGCCCTTAGCACACTGCCTGACACAATGCAGCTGTGATCATCATCCCGTCTAATGACATCTTCAAGATCCTGTGATTCTGTAGTTTACAGGAGCATCGCTGCTAAGCACTTGGGGGCCCTAGGTAGCTGGGATGATGCCCTTCTCCTGTTCACTGCGGCCAAGTGGGTCAGCCCCAGAGGCTGGTTTTTCTCGTTTCCCATTCAAGAAAGGATTCTGTGTGGGTCTTCCTCAACTCCAAGGAGACCAAGAAGTCCATGCTCTGTGCTGTCTGGAACTTCTCCACCCCTAGATTCTTCACTTCTAGGGACTCAGCACCGTGGCTGGTAGCATCCATACTTAGGTGATCATCAAATTACTGTATGTTTTTAAGGGCAAGAAAAAAGAGGTAGCTAATTAAAGTAACCAAACTTCCTGGAAAGTCATTCTGACTCATTTTTTTTTTTTTTTTACAGAGAAAAGCTTATTATGAGTCACAATGGTTACCAACTTGGTTAAATGGCTTCCTTTGGATTTTTAAAAGGCAGATCCCCCTTCCCAGCAGTGCGTGAATTAGGGGGTGGTTTGTCTCTGAGTTTTAAAGGAACTACAAACAAAAGGTGACCTAGAAACCCCCAGCTCCCTGAGAGCACCTTCTGTGTTGTGTGAAATCCCCAAGGGGCACAAGGGCTGGGAGCTGGGAAAGGGAAGTCATTTCCCCATCCACACAGGCTAGGCCTGCGAAGGAGGGCGTTCTCAGGTCCAGGCACAGATCTCCTGGCTGGCAGAGACCTGGCAGGCAGCTCATTCACTCTTCCCTTTCCTCCTGCTTATAAGGAGCTGAGGCACGGACAGAGGATGAACTAACTGCCCAAGGCCTCCGAGTGTCTTTGTGGCAGCACTAGAGTCCAGAAAAACTCCTGATCCCCTGTTCAGTCCTCCTTCCCAACACCCTTACCCCCCACCCAGAGGACTGGAGCCAAGTTTCTAGATTTCTGAATCATCAGCTTTTCTATCTTTTCTTTTATGTCCCTGTTATTTTTCCTTCATTCTTGAGACTGACAACATTTTCTTTCCCTGTTCTCAACTGAGTGGTTGATAAGAATATGCAGGCTTACCCACATTTCGAAAGCCCCCGCGTCTGTAACTAACAAACCCCAAGCACTCATACAGCTAACCCTGTGACTTTTGACCACACGGGTCACAGACTAGCCTCAAACAGAGCGGAGGACAGACACGCTAGGCATGCGATAAGGGAGAGAAAGTCCAGCCACGTTCACACAGCCTCTTCCCCGTACCGGGGCACACGGATGTGTGCCTAGGATTTCACGTGCATCATCTCATTTCATTCTTACGATCCCTGTTTTTATCAAGGAGGAAACTGTGGCTAAAGAATGAGAAACCGACTTGCCCAGGGATGTACAGCTTTGAACCAGGAATCAAACTCGGGCCTGACTCCTCTGGATTCTTATCTTGGCTCTGCCATTACATCTCTGCCCAGATTACTGGGCAAGTGTCTCCACACCGGGACCTTGGGATTTGAGCTGGATAATCTCTGGGAGCTGAATCTTGAAAACAGTGTACACGTTCTGCTTTTCCAAATTCTCTGCCATCACTTTCCACGTCGTGCATTTGTGTAAAGGCTTCCCCAGAGCTAAGCCCCTCCCTCTCTACTGCATCTCCCTCAGCCCCTCCCTAGTCCCTTTTTTCCAGTTGCCTTCTCCGTGTCCCCTTGGACACCGACAGCCTCCTTGCTCCATTTACCTCTGATCCTCCTCTCCAACGCTAGCTGGTAGTCCCGTAACCAACATCCAAGGAGCACGCCAGTGTAGACCCTGGGCTCAAAAAGATGAAGAAACAGTCCATGTCCTCAAGAGGCTTTCCCTTCTATCACAGGAATTCATGGCGGAAGGGATGACAGTGCCAGTTGTGTCTAAAAGAGCACATTCAAACACCCAGTGCATTTGGCCTTTCCAACAGTTCTGTGTGGGTAGATGGTATCATCCCACTTTGAAGATGAGGGATTTGAGCCTGATTTTCCCAAGATCCCATACCTAGCAAATGATAGAGTTGAACCTGGGTCTTTCTAGTGACTTTCTGCCCAAAGATGGTGGTGGGAAGACTGGGGACCAACACAGGAGCCAGTGATAGAGGACACAGGAGACTGGTAGCATCAGGAGAGGTCCCAAGATTAGGGAGGGGGCACCGGCCAACAGGGCTGGAGGGAAACCGAACCTCTGGAAGGGGGGTTGATTTAGTCCAAGAGGCAGAAGCCTTATCTGGGGCCAAAACATGCTTCCTGGGGAAAAGCAGGAACTCTGGTGAAATGGGGAGGGTGAGAATCTAACCTCAGAAAGAATTTTCTCCTTCCCTCTCATCCTGAGCCAGCCTCACTAAGGCACCAGTCTCCCCCGGCCCCCAACCCTTTGACGGGACACTGGGGTGACATTGCAAACCGAGATGATAGCAGAGCAAATTCCTTGGCACCCTTGTCCTGCTCAGAGATATGGGAAGGAAGAATTCTGTGAGGAGAGCCAGGGGAGGACAGGGAGCTAGAGATGAGGGAGGGACTGAGCTTTGTCATTTGTCCATTCCTGCAGCTCCTCTCCACCCTCAGTTGTCCCGTCAGTGGGGCAGAATGGCTAACACCTGCCCCACCCTCCAGAAGGACCGCCAAGGCATCTTAGCCTGTCTGGGGACCCTTTTGCCCTTCACCTGAGAACTTCCAACATGGTTTTAGGAAGGAATGGGCATGACCATGTGGGGAGTACAGATAGGCTAGTGCCTCTCATAAGGTCCCACAGGAAGAATGAGTAACTGACCCAAGACTAGAAAGTCCTTCTCAACCAATTCATTCCTCACCATCTCGACCCTACTGAGTCCTCAGGAAGAGAAGCCAAGGGTAAAGAAACTATGTTTCGTCACAGCCACG